TCTATGTACCTCACCTACCTGTTTTATGATGTATGAATAATGAGCCCAACTTCCTAATCCTGAGGTCATGATTGAAGCAAAATGTTTAGTTTTGTGTTCAGCACTTTATAATAGTGCCTCTCTTTTAAAAATTTTTTGGTACTGCAGATTAAACCCAGGAGAACTTTACCACTGAGCTACATCCACAGCCCTTTTTTTATTTTAAGAAAGATCTCAAAGAGTTGCTGAAGCCAGCTTCAAACTTGTGATCCTCCTGCCTTAGCCTTCTGAATGGCTGGGATTACAAGCATGTGCCACTGTGCCTGACTACTAGTACCTCTAATGATTAATATTAGTCTTTGTGCTTGATTTTTTTCCATCAGAGCTAATTCTAGTGTTACTGTTTATGATTGTTAATACAAATTGAATTTATCTATTTCTAGTCTATTCCTTCTCTGTAGTAACTTATAAAAATATATTTAACAGCAAAAGTGCTAGAAAAGAGTTTGTTATTGTTGTTGTTTTGTTTTGTTTTTGGTACCAAGAATTGAACCCAGGAGTATGCTTAACCATTGAGCCACATCCCCAGCACTTTTTATTTTTTATTTTGAGACAGGTTGCTTAGGGCCTCTACTAAGGCTGACTTTGAACTTGCAATTCTCCTGCCTTAGAGATTCTGATTAAATCTTTTCCTTCTAGAATATAATAGTACTACTTTTTATCACTTTTAAAAGCTGACTTTCATAGTAGTATAAATGTTTATTTTGAAAAATCATAAGAAATTCAGGTATGTTCTAAATGAAGCTTAAAAGAAAGAGATTTGATGCTGTATACATTTTCTAATGTGGGAAATTTTTAAAATACAAATATCTTTCATTCCTAAAAAACAGCCAACTTTTTGAAAAGCCATTTAGATTAATTCCAATGATAGTGAGATCCGTCTCAGGGATTCAGTACTTGCTTCAGAATTCTTCATATATACAAAATTCTCTTAAAAGCTTTTAGGGAATTATGCTGGAGGAATAAATGAGATTTTAAATGAAAGGTTTTGCTTTGAAACTGTTTTTAGAGTGATTTACATTTTAAGTCAAAATTCATTTTTATCTCTTGTAAAAAATGTTACTGTTCTTTTGGGGTTCAAAATTAAAGCTTATTTTCCATATTCTGTTTGAACTATTTTAACATGGTTTTTATTTAAGAAAACTATTCTCTCCTTTTCTGTACAAAGTACCTTAGCCAGATATTTTAGTCAGCTTTGTCACTGCTGTGACTAAAAGACCCAACCAGAACAACGTAGAAGAGGAAAGTTTATTTGGGGGATCCTGGTTTCAGGGGTCTTAGTTCAAAGGCAGCTGGCTCCATTCCTCCCAGCTCCAGGTGAGGCAGAAGATCATCACAGAAGAATATGGTGGAGGGAAGTGGCTCACACGATGATCAGAAAGCAGAGACTCCACTTGCCAGATACTAAATATATAGCCCAAAGCCACATACCCCCCATGACTCACATCCTCCAGCCACACCCTACCTGCCTTCAATTACAATACAAGTTACCCTACTAGAGATTAATTTACTGATTAGATTAAGGTTTTGATAACCCGATCATTTCTCCTCTTGCATTGTCTCACACATGAGCTTTTGTGGACACTTACATCCAAACTATAATACCAAAGAAAGAAGGGGATAAATTATCATTACTACTAAAAATAGTAGGCAAAGAATATAACCGATAATACTCAAGAGAAATTGTAAGACTTCCCAAAAGTTTTGTTGTTTTTTGGGGACAGAAGGGAGTTGAACCCAGGGACTCAGGGGCACCTAATTCCTGTGCCATATCCCCAGCTTTTTTTTTTTTTTTAATATTTTTTTTTTGGGGGGGGGGTTATTTTTGTTGTTGAGGGGTGGGTTCCAGAGATTGAATTCAAGGGCACTCGACCACTGAGCCACATCCCCAGCCCTATTTTGTATTCTCTTTAGAGACAGGGTCTCACTGAGTTGCTAAATTGCTGAGGCTGGTTTTCAACTCTCTATCCTCCTGCCTCAAGTCTCCTGGAGCCACTGGGATAACAGGTGGGATTACCATGTCCGGCAAGGATGTGATGAAATAGTCAATATCATGCCCAATTAGTGGGAATGCAAAGACTCTTTTAAAGAAAAATTTGACCCATGTGCATTAAAAAAAAAATCATTTAACTTATAACTTAGATTTTGAACTTAAGAATTTGAACTTCGTATTCTATTTCTGTTATTTTTTTTCCCCCAAAATTCAGAAATCCAAAATACAGGTAGTTTTATATTGGAAGATGTTCTTTCAGGTACCTTTATAATTAGAAATTAGAAATGTCCAATGAATAGGCAGAGAATGAAATTATGATAAATCTGTCCAATGAAATAATATCTTGACCTTTCAATTGGCATAAAAAGTAAAGACTACTATGCATCGCTATTATGACAAGTTTTGGGGGTGTTGTTGTTTGATACTGAGGATTGAACCCAGCAGTGTTTACCTCGCTAAGCCACATCCCCAGCCCTTTTTATTTTTGAGACAGGGTTTCACTATGTTGCTTATGGCTTTGCTAAATTGCTGAGGCTGGTCTTGAACATGAAATCCTTCTGCCTCAGCCTCCAGAGTTGCTGGGATTACAGGTGTGCACCAACATGCCTAGTTTTGGCAAATTCCTAAAAATAATCAAACCTGAATCTTATCAAACCTCTACATTTAACTGTGCATTTAAACTGCTGTGTTAAATGTCACCATATGGAAATAGCAAACTCCAAAACCTAGGAAAGGACAAATTATTGATTCCTTCAACAAATGGTTAGAAAAACAATTTTAAAGAGATAGGGAAGTTCATTGATAAAAGATGTATTAACCAATTTGCATAGCTTTTCTTTTGCTCTTGAGTCAAAGAAACTGAAAATAATTGTGTGATCATTGGGCAAACTTGAAAACTATGTATCTGATGGTATTATGGTTTGGATATGAGATGTCCCCCTAAAGTTCATGTGTGAGACAATGCAAGAATGTTCTGAGGTGAATTGATGAAATGATTAGACATGAGAGCTGTAACCTAATCAGCCCATCCTAATTTGGGACTGACTGGATATAACTATAGGTAGGTGGGGTGTGACTTAGAGAAGATGGGTCACAGGGGGCATGTCCTAGAAGGGTGCATCTGCCTTTCAACTTCTTCCCTCCTGCCTGACCCCTCATGAACTGAGTGACTTTCCTCCCATCGGCCCTTCCACCATGATTGCTGCCTCCCCTTGGTCCCAGAGCAGTAGAATTGCCCACCTTTGAAATTGCAGTCCTCCTGCCTCTAGAACTGTGAACCCAAATCAACTTCCCCTCTAGGTTGTTCTTGTCCACATCCATGGTAGGGCTGATGCAGAATTCTAAATCAGAATTTCTGAGGTTTAACTATGATCAGACCTTAGGACCTTGTTGGGTGATGTCTACTCCAAAAAGATTAGACCAGTACACCCCGTAGGGCCAGGCAGATGCCAATCTCTGCTGAGTATCTTTAACTCATGGACCTCCTGAGAACTCCACTGGTAGGGGTGGGGTAACCAACTCTTGATAGTTCTCACACATTCCACCACCCATGAATGTGACCTTTCCCTCAAAAAATTCTCAGCCCCCTGTGTCTGGACCCTCTTTAGCTAGTCATATAAGCTACCAGATTCAAAGGGAAAGCCAGCTGCATTAATGTGAATCCCACTGGGCATAATCCTCTCTGTGCCTGTTTCAATCCCACTCTCTAGGTACACCCTAGGCCACATGTAGGCACTAACTGGAGAGTATGCAGTTTTACTATGATCTCCCAGGATCCTGCAGCAGCAAGGTACAAAAGGGGCTCTTTCAGATGGCCATGTGCCTCAGCTCTCCACTTGCCTTTGGAGAAACATGGAGCACTTTTCAAGCTGAATAGATAGCTATTCAGCTTCTGGTTTAGCTAAGTTCAGACTGCTCTTCTGTTCTACAGGTTTTCCCATGCCAAATTTGTCTCCTACATTTCTCTCTCTGTGTTACCCCTCCCATCTGTGGTAACTTGGCACTGCTGCCATCTCTGGCTTGGTTCTGTTGTGCTCTTGTCCTCTGTTCAAAGCACCCGAATTTCTGAATCTCTATGATTCTCTTATCAGTATTGAATTTCAGTGAATTCACTGTCACCCACCTCACACAGAAGCAGTATTTCTGCTGCTTGAATCCTGAGGATAGAACAACTAGAAAGTACACCACCATTCCTCTAATCCAACATCTTTATCTCTCCTTGGTTCTTTATTTTTCAATAGTAACCCTAAAATCTGTTTTTCTAGTTCAGTGAAATTTATTTTAGTATATTTATTGGCATAGCCTTAAGTTCACAGATTAACGAGCAGTAACTTTTTAATGCTGTCATATCTTCTTATCCATGATCCTAGTATTTCTTGAATTTTGGTTTCTTTTGTTTCCTATGGTACTATTTATATATTTATTTGTTGCCAAATAAATATATAAAGTTTATTTCTGAATTTTTCTCTTTTGTTGATGGTATACTTCCACTATATTTTCCAAGTATTATTTGTACAAATGAAGGCTAAGTACTATACATATATTCATTTTATGCCCACTCATTCTTTAATTATGTTCGTAGTAGTTTTTAAATTATTAATCTTGGATTTGCAGGGTATATAACATTTGTAGATGATTCTTTTCTAATACCATTCATTTTTTTTTCTCTCCAATGATATTGATGTTTTTATTCAGGAAAAAAATATCATTTAAAGATATACATTTTAAACTAGTGCTTTCTCCTTTATTTAGCCCTATTCAAATTAAATTCAGTGTCCTCTTACCAAGTATTATTAGACTATTCAAAGCTATGCATATTTTGACCTCCTCAGTAAACTTTTAAAAATGTTTAAGGTTACTTATTTTTTCCAATGTTGCTAAAAATAAGATATTACATTGAAAATTTAGATTTAGATTTAGAAATAATACTTAAAATATGAAAAACTATTTCATTGCTTTTTTCCCTCAGGATCAAATGGCTATTGCATGTGGATCTCGAGCTCATTTGGAAAAAGAATCAATTGCACAGGTGAGAGTTTGCAGTAACTGGCATGGAATAGCAGATCTCCCAACTCCTTTTACATGTGAATTTAACAAGAAATAGGCTCATATATTTGATCTCTTAAAAATGAGGTTCCCTTCAACCTCATTTAAATTTTCATTAGCACATTTCTGAGTTGATTTTTTTTTAAGTATATAGGAAGGATGTAGATTTCATTTTGACTTAGGAGATAAACAATTCTTTCATTTATTTATTTATTTTTTTTAAGACAAAGTATCCTCATTCAGTCATAAGTGTGACTTATGTGTTTTTTGGACCAGTCAGCTTGCCTTTAGTTTTTCTATATCAGCATATTTGATACTTAAGTGATATACAAGTAGAGCATCCTTAACCTGAAAACCCAAAATCTAAAACCTTGAACACTAACATGGTACCATAGATGGAAAATTCCACAGATGAAACTTTGTTTCATATACAAAATTATTAAAAATTCTACATAAAATTTGCCTTTAGACTATTATATAATGTATGTATGAAACATAAATTGATTTCGTGTTGGGGCTCCAGCCCATCCCCGAAAATGTCTCACAATATAAGTGCAAATATTCTAAAATCTGGAAAAAACATGAAACAACTGGTCCTAAACTTTTTGAATAAGGGATACTCAAACTATTTTGAGATTCTTTCAAAGTTTAAATATTTTCTTGTTTTAACTTGGTTTCTGTTAGAAAAGCACTTTGCCTTAAAATTTGTCAAATTCCTGACTCTCCTTTTTAAAAAGATTTATCATTGAAGATGTTAAATTCTTTATTTTATAGATTATGCTAGAAAAGATAGAGCAACTTGAAGAGGGAAATATCTTATTAAGGGATTAATCTATGCAAAATTTTTGTTTGTTTTTTAGAGTTGATTTTTGTTGTTGGTATGGAGTGGGGTGGGCGGGGGGGTGCTAGGGATTGAACCCAGGGCCTTGCACTTTACCACTGAGCTATATTCCAGACCAGAATTATTCTATAAAAATTTTTAATTCTTAATCATTTTTTTCACATTTGTAGGTTTCATGTTTCAAACCTAGTGATTGTTCATTATATTTTCAGTGGTTAATCTAGTATAATGGTCTGGTAGATTTGATAATAAAGCTGTATTAATCAATGCATGACAAAAATTATCTGGAGAAAAAATTTTTAGGAGAAAAATTTTTTAATGCATATAGGCCAGGACAGTCACACTGAATTAGACTATTGGGTTGTGACTAGGTGTCTGCATTTTTAACAGTTTTACAGATCACCTTTATGCACCTTGGACTTAGAGAACCATTGGTATTAAAAGTTGACTCTTTTCAATGATATTCAAATAAGATATGAAGGAATTTTAATATTTTTAAAACATACGGAGAGCAGAGTCAAACATCGTAAGGATTATGCATAAGTATAGAAACCTAGACTCTACTTTTTTGGGAATAAATTATTTTAACACCCTCAGCATCTAGTCTAGTATTCTGTATACCTTATAAATTCTCACTGGTGTTTGAAAAAGTTTAATCATTTAAACTTAGAGAATATAACACTCCCAGAAATTTAAAACTAAAAGAGGATTTATAGCTAAACTTTGTTTACTGATGCACAGGGGATAGAGAAAGGAGAAAAGTTTTCCAAGATGTTCAACACATTATTTGTATTCACAAAATACAGAAACTATAAAGCATTAAGTTCCCACAATAGAAAGCACAGTTGTATTTCTTACATGAAATATATAGGCAATAAATGCTGATGATAATGGAAATGATAACATGGCATGTTACTAAAGTATTAGTTTGTATAAAAAAAAGAATATAAATACAGTATAATTATCTTTATAAAAATAAAAATTTGTTTTTTTCAAACAATTAATGAAAATAGACTTAATTTAATGGTTTTGTGGATTTTTTTTTCTTTTTTAAAAAATTATATTAATGGGAGGGGAAAAGGGATACCCTGCTTAATGAAGGAAAACATGTTGGAGAAATAGGAAGCAAGAGACAAATTATTTATTGTTGGTGGAAGTAGAAAGGAATTGTTATTTTGGTACTGTTTTTAATTATGTAAATTCTTTTTACTTAAAACTTCCAGTAGTTGAAAACAGTTTGAATTTTGCCAAGAAATAGTATTTAGATGAGACTGTGCTGTGGTATAAATCTTCTTGTGTCTCGTACTACTTGTAACTAGATTAAGGAATCTGTCCCAGGATCTAGGAATTCATAATTTATCTTGCCTCCATCCATTCATTTCTCCATCTTTAAAGCATAATGATCAATTTAGTGGTTTTGGTCCCCCCAAAATTGGTTACTGCTCTATAGAAAGAAAGGATAACCTGGCTCATACACTAGAGAGCAGCAGTTGTCCACTGAAGGTGCTGTTTATAACTGCTGCCCAGTAGGCTTCTGTCCAAGTCCAGATTATTCTCATAGAATTATCCTTGATCAGAGAAGGTCGTCCACCTCCAAGAAACAAGATGTGCATCTACCTGATTTAGGTCCAAAACTTCAGCATGCCATTTGTTTCTTTTAATGTACTATAGGCAGCATAAGCCCACATTCATGATATTTAGTCTGTGGACAGAAGAAATTATGAGAATTAATGAAGATAACAAATACATAGATAGCCTCAAGAGCCTTACCATTCATTTTGCTGCTCTCAAGGAAGTCTGACATGATATAGCACTGGTGGAGTACTTCAGCTTCCTTGGATGTGCTCATGTTCCCATGTGTTTCATGTAACAGCATATTCAGGTTTTCCAGATATTCTCAAATTTATCACTTTAAAAGGTTTCAAAAGTAGAAACCATTAACAGTTATTTGATGTCTTTAGTTTTTAAGATCATGAAATCACCAGGGATCTTTAATTTCACTTGAATTCTTTGATTACATTTCATAAACCTTGGAGATAGCATTGTTAATATTAAAACAGTGAATGTCTTTTGCCTGTATGTTTATAAATGTCCATTTCAGAAGTTTATGTAATACTACTCTATGACTTTGTCTTCATTTCACTAAATAAGTCCATCCTATATTTTATATGTATTCTAAATTTTAAAATATTTTGCCAAATTTTAAAAATTAAAGAAAGAGCCTTTGTGGTTTATCTTATACTTTTACATTTGTTAAACTTAAATAAGGTCTTCATATGAACTTCACAACATGTCTGCTTTTAAATAAATAAAACAAAATAAAAAGTTATTAACATCCAAACAAAGGCAGATATAAGGATTTTTATTTGCTAATGAATAAATTTACCCAAATCACATTTAAAATGATTTGGGAAGAAGAGTTTATAGCTATTATTTTTCTACCTTTAATTTTTATTTTGATTTTGATTTCTATTTGTTCCTTTCCTAAGCATAAATGCTCTTTTGGAGGTTTAATCAGTCAACCAGTATTTATTGGAAGTATTTTATATGGAATGCACTGAGCAAGCTGTTGTGAGGTTCCCAAAACATTTTAAGATGAGGTTTCTGCCCTATCTACTTAGAGAGGTAAGACATATTTACATCGAAACATAATGATTCTAGGTGATAAAAAGTGCTAGATAATTTTCTTAAGTTTGCTTTACATACCTTATAGATAAGTATTTTGTTCTCCCTTCCTTTCCTGAAGGTAATTGTAGTCAGGAGAGTATGGTAAGCCCTCAAGCTTTCTTCCTCTATAAAACCATTATTGACTTCGTGTGCCAAACACTTGGCTGACAGCTTTAACATAATCTTAATAATAACTTTGTGAGGTATACATCATCAGCCCATTTTAGGAAACCGAGAGTTGAAATAACTGCTCAAGGTCACCCTGCTAATCAGTAGTAGAGCCAGAATTCAAACAGGTATGCCCAGTGTGTTACCTTTTCTTCTATGTCATATTACTACTCTTTTTGATGATAATAGAAAAAGCCATGAGAATGAAGAGTAATACTGAAGATTATAATTATGAAAAGCAAAAAAGAGAAAGCAACCCGATTTTATAAGATAGTGTTTCCCATAGACCCTTAATAATTTGTTTATGCACACAGTAATGCATCACTCCTTAGGTCCATTACCTTAACTATAGAACACTTTAAGAAATTGTCTTTTTTTTTAAATCTAAATGAGTCTTAAATACAGTGATAATTCATAATCTTAATTTTTAAGATTTCCAATGTTGAATGAGTAAAGGAATATTATTTCCTGTTACTACCAATAGTAATCCCTGATAACAATAATGAATCCTTAGATGGATTAAAAACTACTTAAGGTTATATCCAGAGTATTAAAGAATTCAGACTGTATTAAAGAATACAGTCTGATTAGGCATCTGGCATACCTAATTAGAGAGACAGGGTTTTTGTTTCAAACTCCTTTGTAGTTTGTAACCTCTGTGATAACTCTGCTGTACTACTTCTGTCAGTATTCTCATTTGCTAGGTATCAAACTAAAGGTTCAAATCTTAGTGTTTTGTTTTTCCATTACATTCTAGGGCCTGCTTTGAAACCAAAATGTGTATGGGACAAAGAGGCATAAAATATGTAGGTAGATGAGATGTTCTCCTTACTTGTAACAGCTCCAAACCTGTTTCTCCTGGTAGGTGGAAACACTGGCCTCCCACAGGTTCTGTGATTTATCTCATCTGACTCTGTCTCCAGGGAATCTGTGACTGCTTCTGCAGTGTCTCTGCTCTGCTCTAGGCAGTAATCATCCTAACTGTTTTATATACTTTGTTGGTGAAGCTGATGGAACAATGATGTCCATATGTAAGACCTGCCCCGTCAATGAAATATTAAAATGCAATTATGTGCAGCCAGGTGTTTACTACTTTATAGATGAATGGAAAAGTCATTTCTATTTTGTCTTTGTTTTCAGCGTTCTTACTTCCGCACTCTTCTCATGTATGGGTTCCACTTTCTGGTGTGGTTCCTTTGTGTCAAAGGAATCAGGGACACACAGTGTGGGTTCAAATTACTAACTCGGGAAGCGGCTTCACGGACGTTCTCATCTCTACACATTGAACGATGGTAGGTTTTTAACTAGAATGTATCTGGTAGATCTTATTACCCAACAATTATTCCAGATAAGAAGAGCAGTCCTGTATTTTCATAATGAACATCCAGATTTAAACAAAATGTACATTTACATTTATAAACTTAATCTGTGCCTTTATACCTTTACTCAAACCCAACATATGCTTTAGTTATATGTTCACCTTAATTTTATACAGTATCAACTGAGAAGCCTAAAAACATCTTGTTTTTTAAGCTTTCTTTTCTTTATTCCTTTGAATTAAAAAAAAAAAAAAAAACAAATACCTAGCAAAATAAAGTCTCCATTTCCATTTCTTCCCCTCCTTTTACAGGAGCTAGTGTCTTTCTCCTAGGCCAGTCCTTCACCTTCTGCATCCTTTTCCACCTTCTCCAAAACCTAATCCTGTTCATTTCCTTTTCTCTTTTGTGTATTCAGCCTTTTCCTCTCAATCACATCTTTCCCAAAGCCCCCTACTCATGCCCTTCTAGCTCCGTACCACTACCACCCTACTCTTCTTCCACAGCCAGCTTTTTCTTGAAAAACTGGTCTGTAATTCACTGTCTCTATTTTCTCATTTCCTTCTCACTCTAATAATAACTCACTTTAATATGGATTTTTTTCTCATCCCTCGTACCTCAGTGACATTAAATCCAGTGTTCATGTTAAATGTTTTCATACCTAACCCATTAATGGCATTTGATACTTCTGCTCCCTCTTTTGAAGTACACTATTCCCTCCAAATAGATCTACCCCAGACCTCGCTCAGCTCTCAACCCATATTCAGTAAGTGGCACTATTATACAGAAGCTAGAAACCTTAGTGTCAGTCCTGACTTTCCCCCAGCCCCTGCATATATCCCGCCAACATGACCAAAGCATGTTGGTTTTATCTTTTTGGTTTTACCTTTTATGTCCCTCTCTTTCTCTCCATCTTCACCACCACCATCCAGGACACCATCCTTTCCCAGACTACTAGGTCGCAGCCCAAACGGGCCTTTTCAGAACTTAAAAGGTGATCATGCATCTCTTTTGTTTAAAATCTTCCAATGGCTTCCCATGGCTGTGGAGGTGCTGCAGTCTGACCCCACCTGTGTCTCCATGCACACATGCCTTCCTTCTCAACTTGTCCTCCACATCCTCCGAAGGCAGCCTGCCCTCACTCTCCACACTAGCTCAGATTTCCCAATAATATGTTATGCTACACCATGAACTCTGTTCCTGTCACCCATTACATCTATAGTTCTTTCTTAATGCTTCTTTTTCTCTGTTAAAGCGTGAGCTCTACGACACCAAAAATCCCATTTTATTTTGCTTACTAGTTTATTCCACCATTGAAATAGTGCCTGGTACATAATAGGTGCCCAGTAAGTATTGTTTGAAAAATTAGTGATTTTGTCATGAGTTCTGGTGGGTATCTTTATAATTATTCCAGTATATGTCCATTTTTATAGTCTCTACCAGTTTTCTATATGTTTCCAAAGACATATGTCATATAATCCCCCCAAAAGTATTATTTATTTATTTATTTGTTTGTTTGTTTATTTTTGTACTGGGGATCAAACTTGGGAGCACTTTACCAATGTGTTACATCCCCAGTCCTTTTTTTAATTTTTGAGATAGTATTTCACTGAGTTGCCTAAGATCTCACTAAGTTCCTGAGGCAGACCTTAAACTTGCAATCCTACTACCATTCTTGTAATCCCCAAATAATTATTTTAAAGAAATTAGTTTGAGAATTAAAATTATTTAGACATGTTTTAAAATCTTTTTTCCTAGATTAAAAAATTTTAAGTAATATAAATTTGATCTTCAAATTCAATGTTTTTTATTATATTGAAAGTATAAATTAAACTGATAGTTGATGGGACTCCATAATCTGAAAGTCTAACTTAAGAAGCAATTCTGGAGTAATGTCCTCCATCTGCACTAGACAGCTGCCAAGTGCAGAATTAGGGTCAAAGAACTTGGTTCTTTGTAGTTGAAAGAAAGGATTTAGAAATGAAGGACCCTGTTTTTCACTGTTGAGGGTCTTTTAGTTTTCTTGAAATATAAAAGATTAGAGTTGATTACCTAAAAATCATGAAGTTTCCTGTCAGGATTATTCTAGGCGGCATTATCTAATAGAAATACATGAGATACAGATGCAAGCAATATATTAAAATATATTAAAGCTATATTCCTGTAGCCACATTAAAAGTAAAAAGAAACAGATGAAGTAAGTTTTAATAATATATTTTAACATAATATATCCAAAGTATTGTCATTTCAGCATGCAATTATTGTGAAAAAAAAATGTTGAGGTATCTTTTATTCCCTTATGTACTGTATCTTCAAACTTATAGCAATCTCAGATCAGACCAACCACATTTCAGGTACTCTGTAGTTTTGTATAACTACTGGACACTCTACTGGACAGCAAGTTTCTGGGGTTTTGTTTTAGTTTTTTGTAAGTTGAAAAACCAGTATTGGATTTTTTTCCTTTTGAAAGTTATGTTTATGTGCATGCCTTCTTAATGATTTGTTTTGGATTTCATTAACATTGTATTGACCCCACTTAAAATTTTAGACTCACATTTTTCTTTATGGTCTAGCTATGTTTATTTTGCATCTGTAAAGGAGAACCACCAAATATTTTATCAACTTACTTAGCAGCATACCCTTCCCCACAGTTAGTAGTTTGTCAGTGCTTGTTATTTAAACACCTCTACATTTAAACGTTCTGCATATGGATATTCAGTTTTCCCAGCACTGTTTATGGAAAGAGGCATGTTCATGAACATGAAAAAAACATTCTTCAATCATTGCTTTGACAGTCTCTTCTCTTTGTTTTCTCTATCCTCTCTTATAGTGGAACGTCTTTGCTGATCCTATAATTTCATCTTCTCCCTTTTATATTTTAGTTCTTTTGAGGAGATTCTAACAATTTTATTATCCAGCTCTCCTTTTGAATATCTGTTTCTGCTTTAATTTTTTTTTTTTTTTACAGTACTAGGGATTGAACCCAGAGTCTTGTGTTGCATCCCCAGCCCTAAAACATCTATTCTTGTTTTATGACTACAGTATTTTCTCTAGCTTACTGAATGTCTTATTTAAAACTTCAATGTTTTGTTTGTTTGCTGCATTGTTCTCTTGCCTTCACTTTTTTTTTCATTTCCTCTTTATCATTAAAATCTTTCCTCTAATGCCTTTATTATGATAGTAAAACTTTCATAGGTATCTGTGCACATATGCAGAGCCCCTAATTCACTGATAGATTTCACTACAAGTTAAACTAGTAGAGCCACATGAAAGTCCCACCTGTTACTATCCTTTGGACTGGGCCCTTTTCCCTAAAGTGGGATCCTTCAGTCTCCTGCCTAGGAGCCATGAATCAGGCTGTCAGTATTCATAGAACCAAGTAGGGGAAAGAATGAAGGGGGAGAGAGAGAATCCTGTTGCAACTGCGCCTATATCCCCTCCAGCAGACATATTTAAGGCCTCTGATCCCTGAGCCTGGGGAGAGGGAGGGTTCTGGTACGCATTAGCCTGCTTCTAGGCTTCTCCACTGCTATTATCCATTTCCCTAGTTACCACATAACCTGTCCAGCTGTTTTACAACTTCCAAACTTTTTTACTATCATTCCCTCTTTGTTCTTGTGTGTTTCTTCCATTCTTCTTGCTTTAACTTAGTGACATTTCAGGATCTGCAGTGTTTAACAGGGTCTCAGTATACTCTTACTTCTTTAAGATGTATCTGTTAGTGAGGTAACAGGTATACCAGAAGCCAAGTAACAAAAAGAAACATGGTAGTTCTGCCAAATCCACATTTGCAAAAACAAATTAAGATGTCTTTGATGGAGAATAACCTTACATTGCTTCTGGTAGTACAAGGCTCTGTCCAGAAGTGCATGGTATTTTAGTTAAAATTTGGGTCACATGTAACATAGTAATGTGAACTGCAATTTTTGGTTTTGTTTTTTGTAATGAATATATTCACTTTATTCACATTCTAAATTGTTTAAGAGGAAAAAGATAGGTTTTAAAAAACCTTTCAGTCTAGGATTTTTTTTTTTTTAAATACAACATGATTTCAACTCATCAATGCTTATTTCCCCATCTACTTTTCATTCTTCATTTTTTGTGTTGTTTTGTGTCTTTAATATACTACCATTAGAAAAATATTTAATAATGTTATTCAGATTATTGCATATCATTAGAACTGAGTCCACTAGCTTTAGAAAGTTAAGGTTTAAGCACCAGACTTAATATTGAAACTATTTCCTTCTTTCATAAGTACCATAATTTTGGTAACAGGTTAACAAAAGTTTTACATAGTCCTTTTAAAGACACAATCCACTTTTTATCATCTTAATTAAATATTTTATTTGGATAAGAAAAACTCTTTTAAAAGGTAGTTTTCATATTGAGTTAGCCACACACTTGGAGCCCACATGGCCATTTTCACTTCTGAGCTTTTCTGAGTTGTGATAGAGGTACAGCATTTTTTATTTCACTGTTAAGTAATGACATTAAATCTCTTGTTTGCTTTGAAGCTTCTGAACCACTCAGTGTTCAATTTTTGACCTTCTGTGAATCTGATCTCAGTTTTACAGTGTAAGCTTTATATCTGCCTTGTAAGCTTCTTCAGAACCTGCCAAGGTAGAGATTAAATTACTCATCTTTTGTCGATATATTTTTCTATTTCAGGGCATTTGATGTAGAACTTCTCTACATAGCACAGTTCTTTAAAATTCCAATAGCAGAAATTGCTGTCAACTGGACTGAAATTGAAGGTGAGTTTATTGTTTATTTGCAGCTGCTGAGTTTTGTCAGATGAAAGGAGACATCAAATAGTACAACTGACCAGTAAAGTTCAGCTGGTTTTAAGGTTCTCCCCTCTTCTCAAATCAGGGACTTCTCAGCTGTCAGAGAGCCAGTTCCATGAGAGTGTTGCTCACTCATCCCCTCTTTCAGGCTTGTTCTTTCTGTATGTTTTCAGTATCTTCTTGTGGTCTTCAGCAAGGTTCTTACCCTGGTCAAGAAAGTTTAATAAAACCTCCAGTAGGGCTGGGATTGTGGCTCAGAGGGAGAGTACTCACCTCTCATTCATGAGGCACTGGGTTCCATCCTCAGCACCACATAAAAATAAAATAAAGATATTGTGTCCACCTATAACTAAAAATGTTTAAAAAAAAAAAACCCTCCAGTAGACAAGGTCATAGTAATGTGACAATAGAAGTAAGGCTGAGGGTTGGGATTGTGGCTCAGCGGTAGAGCACTCGCCTAGCACAGGGGGGACCTGAGTTCTATTCTCAGCACCACATAAAAATAAAGGCATTGTGTTGTGTCCATCTACAAAAAAGATTCATATTCATTCTCATTCTCTCTCTCTCTCTCTCTCTCTCTCTCTCTCTCTCTCTCTCTTTCTCTCTCCTTAAAAAAGAAAAGGCTAATAGTCTTTATATATATATATTCTTTTGAAATAAACTTTTATCATAAGCATCACCATTTTTTAGTTTTACATTATTTTATCACTCCATGGATATAGAATACCTACAAACCAAATAAGAAATAATAATAATAAGTGTTTTACTCCAAGCGTCCACAGTCCATCAGTGCCATTTTTAACTATTTGCTATTCCTGTACATATTCCAAAAATGTAAAGAGCTATAAAATCTATAATAATTTGAAATTTATCATAAATTTAATAATTACTATTTTAAAAACCTTGATTTGGTATATAGAATTTAAAATATATTCTAGTTTTCTACCTTGCTTGCCTTAGAATGAACATAAATTATTTCATGGTAGGGGAACAATTACTATTACCAGCTGAAGTCTTTCTTTTTTTTCATATATTTTATTGATGTATTATAAATGTATATAATAGTGGCATTCGTTGTTACATATTTGTACATGCATACACACAGCAATATAATTTGGTCGATATCATTCGTTAATAACTCCCTTTTTCCTCCCCATCTTCCTCTTCCTGGTCCCTTTTCTCTACTGGTTTTCCTTCTGTTTTTATGAGCTCCCTACATACTATTTTTTCCCTGACTTCCACATATGAGAGAAAACATGACCCTTGACTTTCTGCATTTGACTTATTTCATTTAACATTATACTCTCAAGTTCTATCCATTTTCCTGAAAATTACATAATTTCATTCTTTTTTATGGCTGAGTGAAACTTTGTATTTTATATATAAATATAAAATGTACCTACTAAAATGTGGTGTAAATGTATACCATGTTTTCTTTGTCCATTCATCTGCTGATGGACACCTAGGCTGGTTCCATAGTTTGTCTATTGGGATTTGTGCTGCTATAAACATGGGTATACAAATATCATTAAAGTATGATGACTTTAATTCTTTAGGCTAAATACTGATGAGTTACAGTACAGCTGGGCCATATGGTGGTTCCATGCCTAATCTTGAGGAGCTTGTGTACTAATTTTCATAGTAGTTGCATTAATTTATAACCTCACTAACAATGTAAAGTGTTCCGTTTTTCCAACATCCTGTCCATCAGCTGGAGACTTTTTTTTAAAAAGTCCACCTTTCTCCTGAGCACACATGGTCTTCTCTTTGAGAGTCATTGTTACAGTAAGCCATTATTTTATTGCCATTATTGCTCTGTAACCTCAGTTTAGAACAAAAAAAAAGGTTAAGGACCAGTCATGAGATTATACAAACCATGTAGTTTAGAAGGATTCAAACCTCTTGGTGTCTTGCTGAGTCAAACAAAGTTTACAGAAATGTTACTATCTCCACCATTATTAGCCTAGACTCAGAGGACTGGGAAGCAGGTCAACTCTGCTAACTTCTCTGTGCTGGTCTAGGTTTAATAATAAAGTATAACACCAATATCTACAAAGTCCTTTGGTCAGTGTTTTCTGAAGAAAGCTGTTATATAAATTCAGAGTAGTGAAAAGATTTTCTTGAGGATAAAATGTAATTAAAACAGTAATGAAATCTTAAACCTTCCTCTTGATAGATACTCACTTACCTGAAGGTATAATACAAGTAAGGGTTATAAGAATCCACTGAGGAAAATGGATCAGACCCGGAATTAGGCTGGTATTTCTGAGTAGCCTGAGATCACGAAGTCTGAACTAAATGATTTGAATCTAGTCACAGGCTGTATTTTTCACCATTTAGACTGGACGATAGGACTGAGGATGTAGCTCAGTGGTAGAACACTTGCCAAGCAGGTACAAAACCCTGTTTTCAATCCCCAGTTCCAAAAGAAGAAAAAGTTGGGTCATCTATAGAGATAATTATATTCATCCATTATGCTTTATTTTCTGTTGTTCTATATAGAATTATTATTTTTCATTAACAAGCATTCAGTGATCAGTTTTTATACTAAGTGTTGCCGGAACCCTTTTCAGACACGGTCCCTCCTTTCCTATTGAAGTTCAAAAAATTTTTGGTCAAGATTTAAATAAAGTGTTAAAAGCTCACAACAATCATGTAGATGGACTTTTAGGATGCGGTTTTAAACTGACCTTATCCCCTAAGTTTAAGCTTATTTATTTTAATTTGTTTAAATTGCAGGTTCTAAATTAGTTCCATTTTGGAGCTGGCTACAAATGGGCAAGGACCTACTTTTTATACGACTTCGATATTTGACTGGTGCCTGGAGGCTTGAGCAAACTAGGAAAGTGAATTAGATTGTTTGAGATCTTTGATTCTTATGTATCAGTGTCACATTATTTCAATTGAAATTAAATTTTAAATAAAGCTGGGATAGACCTGTTGTCATTGTCTGGCTTTGGGTAATTTTAAAGAACTACCATACATTAAAAAAATTTTATACTTTGGGACAGAAATTTAAAAAAAAAAAAAAGGTTTGAATCAAAAGTCAGATTTTCTTTTCCTCTAGCATTTTTTAAAATGTAGGCTACTAGTCATTATAATTCTGAGAAATGTAATTTTAAGAAGACAGAAGCAATGATTCTTACTCTGATATGCCTACATAATTCTCATGAACTTAAATATAAATCACATTCATGTAACAGTTTTCAGTCATTTAAACATGAAGTTAGTATATGAGTCTAAATGTACACAAACTTAAGCATATCAGAGAAGCCCATATTTCAGCCCGTGAAAACTCTAGAGAATTAATTATGTTAAAGGTAAGAAAATAGACTCATTTACCCCTTAGGAAAGTAGCCACATCCTAAGACAGTCTTATTTCTCTTCCTCCCAATTTTATTTACATGTATTGTACTCACTGTCTCACCTTCTACACTCTTCCCTCTCGATTTCATGTGATGTAGAAATTCTGATTGAAAAGATAAAGATTTTAAAATATTAATAAATATATTTACTTAGTGCAAGAAGCCTGTGTCATTGAGATATTATAAGGCCTAGTAGCAATTAATGAACCTCAAAAAAATCAGAATTAGATTATTTCTGACATCCTAGAGAAATAAGATGATAAGAGTAATAATAATAATTACTATTATATGCCATAGTTTGGATTCGGAATATACCCCAAGACCCAAGTATTGAGGGATTGGTCCCCAGCTTTCAGTGCTACTGCAAGGTTGTGGAGCCTTTAGGAGATAGGGCCTAGTGGAAGGCTGATAAGAACTTTGGAAGTTAAGTCATGGCCTTGAAGGGGATATTGTAACCTTGGCCCCTTTTCCCTCTCTGTTTCTCCCCTTCCCAGTTGCCGTGAGGTGAACAATTTGCTCTACCATGCACTCCTGCCATAATGTGCTGTGCTGCCACAGGCCCCAAAGCAACAGGGCCAACTAACCATGGACTGAAACAGCCAAAATGAATCTTTTTTTTTCCTTTTAAGTGATTTGTTGCGTGCATCTGTTACAGCAACAGAAAGCTGACTAACATAATACCTAACATTTAAGGAGTGCTGACTGTATGCCAGCCACTGTTCTAAACACTTGGTATGTAATGACTCATCTTAACATAAGAAAAAGGCATAAGCAAGTATTTGCCCAAGATCATAGTGGAGTCATAGTTCTAACACAAATAATCTGGATCCAGAACCTACATTTGTTAATGATTATGTTATAACTTTAGTTTCAGAGGATATGAAAATCAGGGATTATATATGTATGAAGTTGCAGAATTTCATTAAACATTTTAATGGGAGAATGACCCCAGTACTTTGAACACCCAATGATAATATCACAGCTACAGTAAACAATAAACTGAAAATAAAAGCCATTTCTCACATAAATTAATATCCCCAGCACAGTGCTTAGCATATATAAACAATAATGGGTAAAACAAAAAAAAAAGCAAAAAAACAATAATGGGTAAATGAATAAACAAATTGTATTTACTACCAGATTTTGAGAACATTTAGTTACTTAAATGAACAAAATCAAACTTATGCAAGTAGAAATAATAGAAAGCTAATATATGAAAGACCGTGAACATTTATATGAATTTAAAGTATAAACCTTGAGCCCAAAATAACATTCCAATGAACTGTAAGGTAATGAAATGATTAGTTATTGCTCTTTGTAAGCTAGTGATAACAATGCATATTTTGTAGCTTAATAAGGGGATATTGTAACCTTGGCCCCTTTTCTCTCTCTCTTTCTCCCCTTCCCAGTTGTCATGAGTTGAACAATTTGCTCTACCATGCACTCCTGCCATAATGTTTTTGGGAGGAAAATGTCAATACTTTTTACATAGTTCATCTGTGAGCACTATTGAAGGTTTCTGATACCTTTGATGCCAACTTTTCTAAGCACAGATATGCTAAGAGCATGGTACAGAACCTGACAGGAAAAAAAGTAGATTCATTTAATTTACAGAGCCTGCTAACAAAGATAATAAGCAGCAGTAGCAAAAGTGAAAATATCAGCTCCTGTCCTTTAATATGTGTTTATTTGACTTGAGATCACATCTAGATCAAATTGTTTCTTGACATCTATAATTTTCCATCTCCATGTAGTTTTGTACTTCTACCATTTATAGTTGATTCTCCAGTCCTATTTTCCATTTTCTTTATTGAATTGTAATTTCCTTAGGAGCAGAAACTTTGCTATTTATTTTATTTGTGTGTCTCCAAAGCATCCTAAATTGTGATTGCTCAATAAATGTTTCCCAAATGGCTAAGTAATGCTAGCATTTCAATTCACTTGTCAAAAAATAATTATATGAATGAGGTTATTCATTTCATTGACAGCTAAATCTCCTGATGGAATAGTCTAGTGGATAGCTTTGTTTTTATACGAATCTCAAAAGCAAAAAATCTACAATTAATAAATGTATATTGTTAATCCAATAAGTAATTTGTAATTTACTGGTTTTGAAGTAAAATTCCAGTTAGTATTTTAAGGGTAATAAAGTCCATTACTTTCCTAGATTTGAGCCTATCTGGGTTCTGATAGGATTGAGGACAGAAAAAAGGACAAAAAAGAACAGCCATGTTCCTTACCTGAGTACTATCACAACATACCTCAGAAATCCTCCTGAACAACTAGTTTTCTGTGTCCCTGACTCAAGTTTCTACAGTAACAAGATGTATGTACATGGAGGACGGGTGAATGTCATTGCTGATAATTCTACAATCATCGCAAGAACAGTCAAATTAGGTCCCCAGAATCTACAAAACATGTTGACTGCAAAACGTGTCCTCCTGTCTAGAGGTATGAGTTTATTCAAGTCCTCCAAAATAAAACTAGGCAAAGTAAAAGTCCTTGATGTAACAATACAATAGCCCCCAGTTTATCTCCAAAAAATACGGGCCAGGACTCTACAAGGATACCTGAAACTAGATAGTAGTTACAAATGCTATGTTTTTTCCTGTACAAACATACCAATAGTAAAGTTATAAATTGGGCACATAAAAGGTGAGCAATAATAAAATAGATCAATTATGACAATGGACTAATATAAGTTCAAGGAATATAAGTAATATAAGTTCAAGGAACCAGACACATTCTGAAAAGGGATGAATTTTTGTAGTACAAATTGAAAATTTTCTGTATCTCTATGGGACTCTCCATGCATAATGCACAACTTCAGTGAAAACACTCACCTCCATCTAGGAAGACAGTTTATATCCTCTCAGTACTATTTGGTCTTTGTCATTCTTCTGAAATAAAACAGCAATCCTACTTGTTTATATTTTGCATTGCATTCCTTAAGATCTGTAGAAATATTTTCCCAAGAATTTTAGTAAAAGGGCCAACTGAATCTGAATAATGAAACAATGACCAAAAAAAGTAAAGTAAGGACTTCCACTTCTGGGAAGATGGAGTAGATATTTCTCCTGCTAAATACAGCTGAAAATAATGGACATTATATCTAAGACAAACATAGTTATTCTCTGAAATACAAAGAAGAGGGCAGACTACTGACCAGGGATCTTGAGACTCAAGGAACAACATGGAGTTGAACTCCTTGGATTTTATTTTCATCGTAAATGCTCCAGACTTGGAACTCAAACTGGAAACTTAGAAAGCCAATGAACACTGACTGGAAAAATCCTCCCAAAATGACTCTCTTGCCAAAGAGTCAAGAAAGGAGCAGACTAGTAGGGCAGAAAACTTGCTTGTTGTTTGTTTGTTGCAGTACTGGGGATTGAATCCAGGGTCACTTACCACTGAGCCCTTTTTATTTTGAGACAGGATCTAACTAAGTTGCCCAGGCTGTCCTCAAACTTGTGATCCTCCTGCCTTAGCCTTCCAAGTAGCTGAGGTTATAGGCATGCGCCACCACAACTGTCTCGACAAAACTTTGGGACAATAATTTCTCCGCTCTAGCTAAACACTACAGGAAAATGGTGGCCCCCAACCAGCAAACCCTGAGTTGGGAGACTAGACTCAAACCTCCATCAGGCTGTAACCAGGCACCCAAATAATCCTTCCAGGATGATGTCAGAGTAGACCAAGTAGAGAGTAGGACTTTTATCCCCACCCAGTAATGGGATCTGTACCAGCATGGTAACAGAGAAGTCTCGGCTTCTATGCCCACCCTGCAGGAAAAGGAGCTCCATCCCTGCTCCACTGAGGTGGTGTCAGAGGAAGCCTAGTAGAGTCAGTCATGTGTCAGAGAGGTCTTGTTACCTCTGTAATGAGATCATCCCCACCACGGTAGCAAAGGCTGCATAGTAAGCCAGACTTCCCAATCCTGCCCAACAGCAATAAGCACACCCCTGCTCTTGGTTGTTAGCCGAGGCTGAGTCAGGGAGCTTTGTACTCACACCCCCACTCAGCAACAACAGGGTGGTGTTCCTCTTCCCCTGCTGGAGTGGGGTCAGAAAATGCCAGCTAAAACAGAAGGTTTAAGATCTCAGACCATTGTAAAATTGTCCAGATTTCAAAAGAAAATCACTCATCAAACTAAGAATCAGAAAAATCTCAATTTGAATGAAGGGTGTGGGAAACAATAAATAGACACTAATGCTGATATAACTGAGATGTTAATATCTAACAAAAATTTTAAAGCAATCCTCTTAAACTTTTATTTTTTTGTGGTGCCAGGGATTAAACCCAAGGACTCATGCAAGCCAGGCAAGTGCTCTACCAATAAGCTACACCCACATCCCCTTTTAAATGTTTTACAACAAAGAAAGCAGCAAAGAGAAAGTTTCAGCAAAATAACAGAAGATATACAGAGAAACCAAATTAAAATTTTAGAATTGAAAACTGAAAAAATTCTTTGGACTGTGAAGGGAGAAAGGAAAGAAGCAGGAAGTTGGGTGGCAGAAAAATCTGACCAACAAAGAGAAAAAATAATGGGTTTTTTTGCACCAGGCATTAATCCCAGG